TCTGTCTCTCTCTCTCTCTCTCTCTCTCTCTCTCTCTTTTTCTCTTTCTCTCTCCTCTCAAACAAAACTAAAGACAAGAGTCACCTTCCTAGAGTAGCAATTTCAGATCTCTCTCTCTCTCTCTTTCTCTCTCCTCTCAAACAAAACTAAAGACAAGAGTCACCTTCCTAGAGTAGCATTTTCAGGTTTTTTCCCTACTCAAAACTGGAATGTTCCAGAATTTCTTCAAGCAAGAATCACATAATTTAAAAATAATTTCTTAAATGTTTTATCATCCAAAATATGAAGGCACGTTTTGTCAAGTAGAAATTTCAGGATCCACCCTAATTGATAAATAAGAATAATTCACATAGGGATGATGTAAAATGGCATTTAAAGGAAGTTGGAAAGTAAAATAATCTTTAAGACTATTACAAATGGTTTCATGTACTGCTGATTATATACCAGACAGAAACATTTTATTTTAAAAACTCAGAATTTTGATTGTTGCAATGCTCTTTAGTACCCTGCTTAGAAAATAAAGTGTATTCTAATTATTTTTAATGCTATATTTACTAGTATTTCTACATCACTTTGTATCTAGCAAATACATATTCATTCCCTTTATAGTTTTTTTAAAATCTTTATTATGGAAAATTTCAAAGGTGGAGAGAATCTATAATAATAAAAGTGTAATATGCAAATCGACTGAACGGCCAAACAGCGGAACGACCGTCCGGATGACCTTCTGGACCAGTGGTTCTCAACCTTCCTAATGCTGTGACCCTTTAATACAGTTCCTCATGTTGTGGTGACCCCCAATTTCATTGTTAGAAATTGAACATAATTAAAGCAGAGAGATTAATCACAAAAACAATATGTAATTATATATGTGTTTTCCAATGGTGTTAGGTGACCCCTTTGAAAGGGTTGTTCGATCCCCAAAGGGGTCGTGACTCACAGGTTGAAAACCGCTATTCTGGATGAAGCCGGTGCGGCGAGGGCCTACTTTTGCATGAATTTTGTGCATTGGGCCTCTAGTAGTATAATAAGCACTTACTAACACATGGCCAAGTAATATTCCATTCATCTTTCACCCACCTTTCTCCAGAAATAATAATAACCAGATTATATTAAAGTCATATAATGCCATTTGTTGATATTCTTATATTTTAGAGTTATATACTAAAATATCTCTAAGAAACAAAACCACAGTATCATTATTTCTCCTAAAAAAAATTAACATTGATTCCACAATACATATAATCAAATATCTGAGTCATTGTTCAATGTCCACCTCCCTCCAACTCCTTTTCTCTCTGTACTGCTGGTTAATTTAAATCAGAATCCAAACAAATCTGTCTATTACATTTAGTTGACCTGTCTCTTAATATTTTTAATTTATAGATTTCCTTCTTTCCTCTTTTTCTTGTCATCTATCCTTTATAGAAGCCATGTAATCTATCCTGTAAAATTCCCGACACTCTAGGTTTGGCTGAATCTGTTTCTGTGGAGTTATTTAATGTTTTTCCACTTCCTATATTTCCTATAAGCTAGTACTTGGATCTAGCAATGTGATCAGGCTCATACTCTATTTCTTTTACATATATATATTTATTGATTTCAGAGAGGAAGGGAGAGGGAAAGAAAAACATCAATGATGAGAGAGAATCATTGATTGGCTGCCTCCTGCACGCCCCCTACTGGGGATCGAGCCCCACAACCCAGGCATGTGCCCTTGACTGGAATTGAACCCAGGACCTTTCAGTCCACAGGCCGACGCTCTATCCACTGAGCCAAACCAACTAGGGCATCATATCCTATTTCTTTAACAAGTATTTGTCATATACCTACTACATGCAGAGGTTATTGGTTGTATCATAGATCAACCACACAATACCTGGGCAGTTATCTATGTTTATAAGTCATCTTGCACATGTGCAGCCATGCTCACAAAAGTGGAAGGATGTTTATGATATGTTAAGTGAAAAAAGCAGTATGCAAAATAATGTGTATTGTAAGCCCTTAAAAAAACGTGTAAAGCCACTCAACCTATATATAGACTTGTTTGAAAATATATAGAGCCCTAGATGGTTTGGTTCAGTGGATAGAGCATCGGACTGCAGACTGAAGGGTCCCGGGTTTGATTCTGGTCAAGGGCACATGCCCGGGTTGCAGACTGGATCCCCAGTAGGGGGCGTACAGGAGGCAACTGATCAATGATTCTCTCTCATCATTGATGTTTCTATCTCTCCCTCTCCCTTTCTCTCTGAAATCAATAAACCCTGGCATGTGCCCTGACTGGGAATTTAACTGTGACCTTCTGGGTCATAAGTCAATGCTCAACCAATGAACCATGCCAGCTGGGCCACCATAGTTTAATTTAACTAACAAAATCTCCAGTATGTATGTATGTATGTGTATATTTACTGTAAATCAGTCTCTTTGATTGTATTATATATTTTGTTTCAAGAGAAAAGATAATTTTAAGACTTAATTTTAAATTATTTGTGTTGTCACTAATGTAAGTAAAGAATAATGTGAGAATAATGATGAATCGCTTACATTTTGGTATAAGTCTCTTGACAGTTTTATTTGAAGTTGAAAAAATTCACCATTTTTAAGTTCAGTAAGTTTTAACAAATGTTTATTGTGTAACCATCACCATAATACTAGAGATATAGAACATCTCTGTCACAATATTAGTGTAGATTTTAATTATGTTTATTAATTATAGATGTGAATTTCTTCAACGTAAGAAGTCCTCAGAGGAAATTTCCCAGTATATTCAAAGCTACAAGGGATTTGTTGATGTCACGGTAATTTAAAACAGCATTTCCCCCCCTCATGTTGGCTTTTGATTACCTGGTAATATCTGAATTAGCAGAGGGTGGGCTTTCTTTCTTTTTTGGGGGGGCGGGTCATGAATTCTACTTTCTTATTCCCTTCTTTCCTACCCCAACTTCTCATCTGGCAGAATGAAGAAAATCTATTTCCTTGCTAAACTAGAGCCCTTAAAAGTCCTTTTTCCAGGACTGGCTTTTGATTGGTCAGTCTGCCTTCCTCATAGTCTTTCCCTCATAGGTGAGGCCACCTCCCCTAGCTTCCCTTGGCTGCCCCATCTGAATTCCTGTGTGAGATTTTGGGACCATGTCACCATCACCCTCAGAGGGCCTCAGTTACTGTCCCCTAGCTGGTTACTCTGTAACTATTAGTAAGGATTCCCTAATGGCAGGTCACAGACAACCCAACCCAAATTGACTTAAGCAAAAAGGGGAATTTATTGGCTAACATGACTCAGAAGATGAGAACCCTGCAGGGAGAACTTGACCTGAAAGTGGGGGAGAAGTGTTTCCTGAGAAAGAAATTGAGTGTGGTTATCAGAGAAGGATCAGTTGCTTAATACCTAATGCCCTTCTCAATCTAGTTTCCTTCCTATATTTCATACTTCCTCATTAGTCAAAGTACATCTGTGCTATCCACATGTAAATCAGCTTTGGAGCTAGATCTCTGGAAACAGCCACCCTAGAACTAGAAGACTTCCTGTTAGGTAGCAGCACTGCATAAAAAATTCCAACATTAATAGAAACAAATATTTAGAGAACAGTCTCCAACAACCGTGCCACTCAGTCAATCCAGTGAAACTTTATGTGGGGGTGGGAAGAATTCTTTCCATTTTTATTCATAGATACGTGTATCTTCTAAATCAAAGTCAAAATTTTCATTTTCTTCAGGGAGAACATTTTGTGAATTCCTGGGTCAAGAGAGATTTACCTATGGCATCAGGTAAACAGACATTTTTTTTTTAGGAAAGAAACGTTAAAATTTTTAAAACGCAGACCTATTTCAAAGGCTTTGCTTGTTTATTTCTTTTTCTGTTTTTCTTTTGTCCTCACCCTTTTTGTAACTCTTCCATTTTCTTACTCATTTTATGGGGCACAGGCCCAGGTTGCAGGCGCTATCCCCAGTGGGGGACATGCAGGAGGCAGCCGATCAGTGATTCTCTCTCATCATTGATGTTTCTATCTCTCTCTCTCCCTCTCCCTTCCTCTCTGTAAAAAATCAATAAAATATATTTTTAAAAAAACGTTTTTGAAAACATTCTTGATTGGATCTGTTATGAAATTAAACATGAAGTAATAGAAAAATATATGTAGTTCTCTGCCTTCAATTCCTTATACAGGGCTTCTAAAACCCTCATAATTTCCTAAGCGATAAGAGCACTAGGGGGATCTTTTGTTCAAATGAGGTGACTCTGGGTGGGCTCCTGGATGGGGGTTGGTCACTAGAAACATGAAACCATGATTAGAAGCTTAGAATTCTCAGTCCTCCCCCTCCACCTCCCCCCTATTCTCCAGAGAGAGGAGCGGGGCTGGAAGTGGAATTAATAACATCTTCATGATGAAAATCCCAGTAGCACAGGGTTCAGAGAGCTTCCAGGTGGGTGACACATTCCAACTCCATGGGGTTGGAAGCCCCTGTTCTTGGGGCCCTCTTGGGCCTCACCCTATCTCTTCATCTAGCTGTTCACCTGTATCTTCTATCAATCCCTTAATAGACTAGTAAACATAAGAAAGTGTTTCTGTGAGTTCTGTGAGCCACTCCAGTAAATGAAGTGAAGTGGGAGCAGTCTTGTGGGATTGAGCTCTTAACCTGTGGGATCTGACACTGTCTCCAGGTAGAGGGAGTCAGAATTGAGTTAAATTGTAGGGTGCCTAGCTGGTCAGATAAAACCACCACACATCTGGTGCCAGAGTTGTTGTGTAGTCTGAGAGTAAAGGAGATAGCCAGGAGGAAAAGACATATTTTTCCAATACATTAAGCATAGGCGGATTAAAAATGAAGTGACAGCATGAATCCTGGGGTTGAGTGGAACGTCAAAGCAAGCTTTCATCTTTAGAGAATTCACAAAACCAAGTTAACGTAGACTTAAAATTTTTTTTAATATGTCTTCATTGATTTCAGAGAGGAAAAGAGGGGGAAAGAGATAGAAACATCAGTGATGAGAGAGAATCATTGATTGGTTGCCTCCTGCACATCCCCTACTGGGGATCAAGCCCGCAACCCAGGCAGGTGCTCTTGATCGGAATCGAACCTGGGACCCTTAAGTCCGCAGGCTGACACCTATCCACTGAGCCAAACAGCTAGGGCCAGGTTTAGATTTTTTTTTAAAATATATTTTATTGATTTTTTACAGAGAGGAAGGGAGGGGGATAGAGAGTTAGAAACATCGATCAGCTGCCTCCTGCACACCCCCCACTGGGAACGTGCCCGCAACCAAGGTACATGCCCTTGACCAGAATCGAACCTGGGCCCCGTCAGTCCGCAGGCCAACGCTCTATCCATTGAGCCAAACCAGTTAGGGCCCAGGTTTACGAACCTGGGACCCTTAAGTCCGCAGGCTGACACCTATCCACTGAGCCAAACAGCTAGGGCCAGGTTTAGATTTTTTTTTAAAATATATTTTATTGATTTTTTACAGAGAGGAAGGGAGGGGGATAGAGAGTTAGAAACATCGATCAGCTGCCTCCTGCACACCCCCCACTGGGAACGTGCCCGCAACCAAGGTACATGCCCTTGACCAGAATCGAACCTGGGACCCGTCAGTCCGCAGGCCAACGCTCTATCCATTGAGCCAAACCAGTTAGGGCCCAGGTTTAAATTTTTTTTAAATTGATTTCAGAGATGAAGGGGGAGGTAGAGAGAGATGGCAACATCGATGATCAGAGAGAATCATTGATCAGCTCCCTCCTAAACATCCCTGAGCCCACAGCCTGGGCATATCCCTATCCAGGAATCAAACAACGACCTCCTGGTTTATAGGTCGACCCTCAACCACTGGTCCACACCAGCCGGGCAATGTAGGTTTAATTTTCAAGTCCTTATAGGGCACAGATTACAGGAACCAAACCCCAGAGCCCAGCCAACATGAGAAAACTAATGAAGGCCATTGCATAGAGTGGACACCCCAAAGGGCAAGAAATAAATCTACCTGCTCTTAAGGGAACTACAAGGAAAATTTGTCTTTCTTAACACTAAATTTTGAAGGAGGCGTATCTTCTTTAGCTTTTTTGATTATTTTATTCTGATGCTAGATGATGAGATAATTTTAAAAGGTTTTATAATAGAAAATTTTGAACATATACAGAAATAAGATAGTATATACTCACCACTCTGCTTCAACAATTTAACACATAGTCAATCTTGCTTCATCTAATTTTCTTCTTTTTAACCTCCCCCAATTATTCTGAAGCAAACTCCAAGCATCATATCATTCTGTCTGTAAATATGAAGTGATAACTTGAACCTGATAATTGCAATATCAAAACTTGCTGGTCTAACCATATGTCTTTTATTCAAGCTTTTTGCAATGACAGCATCTTTGCTAATGAAGAACTACGACAGGAGTCTTTTAAGAAATGGCCCCATGCATCTCCTGGGGGCGCAGCTCTGGCCAAAGCAGGTCTTTTCTACATAGGTGAGTCAGTAGTTGGCATAGCCTCTTGCTTTGCTGCTCATTCAAGCCCCACATACACTAATGACCCTGGATTTGTATTTATCTAGTCTCAACAATCTCCACTCTTCTAGTCTTTCCTTATATATCCTTTTTCCTTGCTATGTCAGAAAACCTCTCGCAGTTTTCTACAACTAACTTAGGTAGAGAAGCTCCAAATTGAAGCCTTAAGAACTTGACTAACAATGAATACAAGTACATGTATCCTCTACTTTTGGAAAGTTAGTTTTATGCCACTTTGTTTTTATGAAAGATATATACATGAGTAAAGGCAGACCTTGGAGATACTGCAGGTTCAGTTCCAGACCACTGCAATAAAACAACTATCACAACACTGGAGTCATAATCCGTTTGCTGATGGAGGGTATTTGCAGAAAATGTAGTATCTGTGAAGCACATGAAAGCAAAGCACTCAAAATGAATATATATAAATCCAAGCTCTTTTTCTGAATCCTTACCCCAGGATATTTTTTTCCCATTGGTTTTTAGAGAGAGTGAAAGGGAGGGAGGGAGAGAAAGAGAGAAATAGGGACACATCAATTGGTTGCCTCCCAGATACACCTGGATCAGGGCCGGGGATTGAGCCTGCAACCTGCAACCAAAGTGTCCTTGACCGGAATTGAACCCAGGACCCTTCAGTCTGCAGGTGGACGCTCTATCCGCTGGGGTGGTGTCCAGTTAGGGTCATAGCATTCTCTGTAGCTTCTGGTCATCAGGAAGTTCCCCTCTGTAATCCACAACTAGTAGGCTTGTTCCCTTTGGCTAACTGCCTGAGGTCCAGTAGGGATCGGAGAAAGGATATTGTGCCCTGCCTTGGTCCTTGCTGGCCGTCTTCAGACCAGACACACAAATTGAGTTACAGTGGAGGTCCATGCAGAACTTTTACTGAGAGGTCAAGTAGATGTCACAAATTTCACACAGTACAGAGTAGGAGAATATAGCGGTCACTTTAACAAAAATATCCTGTGGTACAAAATATCTTAATGGCTCACAAGCTTAAGCATTTGGAAAGGCAGTGTCCCTACTCTCTCTATTCTGGCTTCCTCTTGGCAGCTTCCTCCAAATACCCTCTGTCCAGTGTCCTCATCCTCTTTCTTTTTGAACCTCCACCTCTCCCCACAAATCCTAATCCTCTGACCCTCTAAGAGTCTTGCAAGCTCTAGGACCTCTTATTTTCATGCAGACACAAAGGGAGGGTCTCCCCTGCCCTAGCTTTACCATGCCGACAGAGGTCCAAGAGTGGAAGATGATAGCTGTTCCATTTCTACTTCAATCCTTCGGCAGATTCAAATGCTAGTTTCCTTCCTAAGAAATATAGTCTCCCAAGGAGACTTGATCCTACTTCTAGTGGCATAAACCTGGCAATAATGTAGCAATAGGCATTTGATGCTTCATGAACTTACACAGGGCTGCAACATTGCTCAATCTCCCCTCCCCCTGAACTCCATATGTATTCTCTCTTATTTAATCACTAGACAAATGTATTACAGAGTGCTTAATAAGTGCTAGGCACTCTTCAAGTCCATGAGATTCACTGGGGAGCAAAACAGACAAAAGTCTTTTCCTTCCTGGAGCTTTAATGCGTACACTGATTTGCACATCCCCTGTTCCATAGGAGGATGGGACAGGGAAAGGGTGTTCATCAAAGTGCATGCCACATGGAGGCATCCATGACTATTTGCTCATTACCCCTTTGGTCCTGTATAGAATATTGCCCCAACTTGTGACTTTGTCACAAAATTTGATTGGAAATACAAGTAGGGTTTTGCTAATAAAGGCCTGGTAGTTATTACCTGTGTCACTTGAGAAATACACATGCCAGTTACACTGATTGAATTTCTTTGCATCTAGGTATAGAGGACATCGTCCAGTGTTTTTCCTGTGGAGGATGTATGAACAACTGGGTGGAAGATGATGACCCATTAGGAGATCATTCCAAATATTTTCCTGAGTGAGTGGAATGAATGCTTAGTGTCTGTGAATTTGGATATACTTTAAAACAATTTGTCCCTCGCTTTTTCCTGCATTTTCTTATTAAATATTTGCTCAACCCTCTGATTGCTACTCAGAAGAATGAGTCTTTATCTCTTATCCCCTTAGTCTCATGACACCCTTTCCATTTAGCATTTCCTTTATTGTAGTTATAGCATAGTTTTGGTGAGATTAATATTTTTACATTATATGTTTATTTATCATGACTGCAGAACTGAACCTGTAGTAAATTATTATTTTGCCTCTCTGTGCAAATTTTAATTTTTGTAGAAAGTAATAATTGTCTTGTTAGTAGTTTAATTTTTTTAATGAAATTCATACATTAACCACTTTAAAGTGTGCAATCTAGTAGTATTTAGTACATTCATAATGTTGTGCAACCACTTCCTCTAATTCCATTTTCTTTTCTTTTTAAAAAAAATATATTCTATTGATTTTTTACAGAGAGGAAGGGAGAGAGATAGAGAGTCAGAAACATCAATGAGAGAGAAACATCGATCAGCTGCCTCCTGCACATCTCCTACTGGGGATGTGCCCGCAACCCAGGTACATGCCCTTGACCGGCCGGAATCGAACTTGGGACCTTTCAGTCTGCAGGCCGACACTCTATCCACTGAGGCAAACCGGTTTTGGCTCCATTTTCATTACCCCAAAAGAAAACTGTACCCATTAAGTAGTCACTCCCTATCTTCCCACCCCATCCTTGTCTAGCTCCTTAGAGCTACCAATATACTTTCTGCCTCTACAGATTTACTTATTCTGGATATTTTATATAAATGGAAACATACAATATGACTTTTGTGTCTGGATTCTTTCACTTAGCATAACGTATTGAGGTTCATCCATGTTGTAGCATGTATCAGTACTTCATTTCTTTTTTTTAATGACAGAGTTATATATATTTCTCCATATTCTCACCAATACTTTTCTTTAACTATAGTATTTGGTTAGGTCTTTTTTTTTTTATGTCTTGAGGACCAGTTTATCATCAAATTCACCCAGATGTTTAAATCTTCTCTCTAGTCATTCAGAACTATAAGCATTTCCATCATTTTCATTTTCTTGAAGTTTCTCTCCAACATGAACTGTTTATCCTGTAGTCATCCTAGGATCCTAGGGATTCCTATTGGCTCTCTCCTGTGTTGTAGCTCCTGTGTCCTATCTAATGTCATCTTCTTGGTTTATCCACTCATTTTGCTGGAGTACTCCTCCAAGTCCCCTGGAAAAGATTGCACAAGAGATACATGTTTTTAGCTTGTATATAGTTCATATATCTGAATATATTCTCACATTTGTTTGATAATTTAGCTGGGTATAGAATTCTAGGTTAGAAGTTGTCTTAATTTCAATTGTAAAGGCATTGCTACATTTTCGTATAGCTTCCAATGTTGCTATTGATTCTGATTCTTAATCCTTAGATTGCAAACCACATTTCCACCCCTTCTAGAAGCTTTTAGGTTTTTCTGTTTGTTTCTAGTGTTTTAAAATTTCATGAAGAGGAAAGGAGAGGAAGAGAGAGATAAAAACATCAGTGATGAAAGAAAATCATTGATTGCCTGCATCCCGCATGCTCCCCCACTAAGGATCGAGCCCACAACCAGGCAAGTGCCCCAACCAGTAACTGAACCATGACCTCTAGATTCATACATAGGTTGATGATCACCACTGAGCATCAACTGGCTGAGCGAAATGGCTATTTCTTTAATTTTTTTTTTCTGTGAATGTTCAAAGTTTTTTGGCTTACTTATTTTTTGCTCACCAAACTCTCCATAAATGTTGAGTTGTAAGAAGAAATTAGTTGCTTTCACTTTGTAATTTGTAAGACTTTTTTCCAGAAATAAGTATTAATACATACAGATCTTAAAACAAATACTCCCATTTAATTCTAAGATTCTAAAGAGGATATTGCTTTGAAGGAGTTTTGACAGAAGTAGTTGCTTATTTTCTTTCTTATTTGAGTTAGTATTTAGTAAATTGTTGAGAATCGTAGGGACATTCCTCTTAATTTCTGGAAACATGAGCTAGTATGCAGTGTACTTTTGTTTAGAACTTTTTTTCTGGAATCTATCAACTTCCTTTTGTGTGGTTTTTACTCTTCCTTTGCTTTCTTTCTTTCTTTTTTTTTTTAATTGAAGACTAGGATGCCTCCAAAGGAGTAACTAAAATATTTATGATTTGAGGACAATAAGAAACCAATGTATCGACCACAGAAGTAAAGAAATTGAACATTACCAAATGCCTTAGAAGGCTACTGTATATCCACCCTCCCCAATTCCAATTATATCCTTGTTCCTCCAATCCAGAGTTAAACATGATTCTGAATTTTTGGTTAATTATTCATCTGCTTCTCTTTATGGTTTTACCCACTACATATGTCGCCTTAAACATATTCAATTTTGCCTATTCTTGAAGTGAAAATAGAAGCATACTGCATGGTTCTTCTGTGAATGACACATGTAGCTCCACACCGTTTTATAGGCTTATTCTTAATTATGTATAGAGTTGTAGTCCACTTGTTTTCACTACTATATATAGTGTATTATTTCACAAGTGTATAATTATCTCTTCCATTATTGATTCAACATCTGGGTTGTCTTAGGGATGTTGCAAATTCAAATAATGGTACTACAAACATTCTTGTGCATATTTCCCATTGCCCTGAGCGTTACTCTCTAGGGCATATAACAAAATGGAATTGCACAGTCATAGAATTTGAACATATTCAACCTTACTAGAGTGTGTAAAAGTTTTTCAGAGTGGTTGTACTCATAAATTACTAGTACATTTACACTAGCATAGATGAATTTTCCATGGCCTGCTTCCTTACAAATTTGGTGTTGTCCAAATTTAAATTTTTGACAATCTAAAATTTCTCATATTTTCCCATGTAATTTTCACATTATTTTTCTTCAAAAGTGTGTATTATTATTTGCCTTTTCATATTTAGAGAATATATGATCTGTTCTCTTTAACCTCATAGTATTCCTTGTTCTTAAGTCTTTATCTGTTATTAATATTATTTTATCACTCCAATTTTTCTATAATGAGTTTTTACATAATTTTTGAAATCATTTTACTTTTAATCTATGGCTTTATATTTAAAGCAAATTTCTTGTAGGCAGGCAACAGGGTTGGATCTAGTTTTTAACTCTGACAATGGGAGTGTTTAGAACATTTACATTTGGCCCAGCAGGTATGGCTCAGTGGTTAAGCGTCAACCTGTGGTAGGAGGTCACAGTTCAATTCCTGATCAGGGCACATACCTGGGTTGTGGGCTTGATCTCATTAGGGGACGTGCAGGAGGCAGCTAATTGATGATTCTCTCTCATCATTGATGTTTCTCTCTCTCCCTCCTCCCTTCTTCTCTATGAAATCAATAAAAACATATTTTTTTAAAAGAACGTGTACATATAATTTAATTATTGATATATAACATTTCTTGGAGTGCAGGTCTTCTGGATTCAAATATACTATTTTGCTATTTGCTTTCTATATTTTACAACTCTCTTTGTTTCTTTTTCTTCTTTTCATGACTTTTCTGAGTTTGAGTATTTTTCAGTGTTCCATTTTATCTCTGTTATTGGTTTATTAGCTATACATCTTTGTCTTTTTAGTGCCTGCTTGCTATAGAATTTATAATGTGCATGTTTAACATTATTAGTGATCTTTTGATATTATAACACTTGATATATAATGTATGAATTATGTAGCAGTATATTTCTATTTCTCCCCTCCTATCCTTTTGCTTTTATTATCATACTAGAGGCCCGGTGCACAAAAATTTGTGCACTCAGGAGAGTCCCTCAGCCCGGCCTGTGCCCTCTTACAGTCTGGGACCACTCAGGGAATGACCACCTACTGGCTTAGGCCCACTCCCGGGGTGATTGGGCCTAAGCTGTCAGTCAGACATCCCTCTGGCAGCCCGGAAAACCTCGGGGGATGTCCACTTGCCATCAGGGAGCAGGCCTAGCTGTACTTGGACATCCTTAGTGCTGCTGAGGAGGCGGGAAAGGCTCCCACCACCACAGCTGTACTGGCAGCCATCAACCTGGCTTGTGGCTGAGCAGAGCACCCCGTGGGAGCACACTGACCACCAAAGGGCAACTCCTGCATTGAGCATCTGCCCCCTGGTGGTCAGTGTGTGTCATAGTGACCAGTCATTCCCAGTTGTTCTGTTGTTAGGGTCAATTTGCATATTACCCTTTTATTATATACTAGAGGCCCAGTGCACAAAATTTGTGCACTGGTGGGAGGGTTGTCCCTCAGCCCCACTTGTGCCCCCTCACACTCTGGGACCCCTCGGGAGATAACGACCTGCTGGCTTAGGCCTGCTCCCGGGTGGCAGAGGGCAGGCCCAATCCCTAGGTGCAGTCTTTGGTCGGGCTCAGAGTAGGGCCGATTGGGGGGTTGGGGTGCCGCCCCCATCACACTAAAGGCAGGGTCGATGGGGAGGTTGCAGCACCACCCCCTGTCACACACAGAGCAGGGCCCATCAGGGGGTTGGGGAGCTCCCCCCATCACACACAGAGCAGGGCCAATCAGGGGGTTGGAGCACCTTCCCCTGTCACGAACAGAGCAGGGCGCCCAGTGCTGGGAGGCTCTGCTGATCCTGGTGCCAGGAGTCCTTGAGGCTCTGCTGATCCCAGTGCTGGAAGGCCTTGCGGCTCCGCTGATCCCGGGTTCGGGTGTCCTCACAGCTCCGCTGATCCCGGTGCTGGGAGGCATATTACCCTTTTACTATATAGGATAGAGGCCTGGTGCATGGGTGGGGGCCGGCTGGTTTGCCCTGAAGGGTGTCCTGGATCAGGGTGGGGGTCCCGCTTGGGTGTCTGGCCAGCCTGGGTGAGGGGAGGATGGTTGTTTGCATCTGGTCACACCCCCTTCAGGGTGAGGGTCCCCACTGGGGTGCCTGGCCAGTCTGGGTGAGGGGCTGAGGGCCATTTTCAGGCTGGCAAGTGACTGAAGCTCCCAACCTGTCCTTTTCTCCTTTTTTTTAATTCTAGGCCACCAGCTTTAGCTCTGAGGCTCGGCTCCAGCTATGAGACCTCCGCTGCTGAAAGCAGA